AAATTTTACATAACGGTTGAGCACCATTACGATCATTATCTAATTAATTGAGTGTGCTACTTGAGAACACCCTAAATCACTTTCACTTATTAAACAGATTTGATGATCTGTAAGTTTAGTAATATATCAAGATATCCGTATAAAGAAAGTATCTCACTAACCTGTGCAAATTTATCATATTTTTCTTTTTATGAGAAGGTGCATTTTCTTCATAACATCCAAGTTCAGGCCAATTAATCACTAGACCTAAGTCGATGTTTACTCTGAGCAGGTAAATTCCAGGACGAAGAGTAGGTTTATCCTCATGGGCCTGATCAGCACCGGAAGAATCCGAACATGTAAGGTAGTTATAGCTGTAATTACGATAATTATAATTTAATAAATAAAGCATCATTATAAATCTTGTCTTTTAAATGCTTACTCACATTTGTTTATTAATAATATTATTCTTTAATAAAAGCTTCGCGATTAATACATGGTTACCATAACAACCAATGAGCTTTAACTTGGTATGATTCAATTCTGCGTAATCGATATTAGAAATCGACTTGAAGCTATCTGGCTTTAAATCGTTACAAAGTTTTTTCAACGACTCAGTAGAAATGATTATCTTGTCAACTTAAAAAGAAGGATAAATTGTTAATTACTAATAAACATTTTTCATAAGAAAAGTAAAATCCTACCGCGTCCATTAGTTCCATCATCTTTACAAAAATCGAGTAAACGATATAGCCCTGGGATGATATTAGACAAATCTAAATCGTGTATTTTTTTTTTTTAAAAAAAAAAGCAAAACCATTTAGTAATATTGTCGTTTGTCATATGCATTAGCATATTTCATTTTAATATTTATTTTTTTTAATGTTTACCAGTTACTTCTCCAAAATTTCCGAACATCTGGAATAGAATATCTTCTTTTCTGTCGAAATTGAAAAAACAAGGATAACTAAGTTTTTCTACTTCTGTATTTATCTTAAATTCTATCATTCGCAGCCAGATCCCCAAAATGCAGCAGCGCCCTAAATGCATTTAAGGAAAATTATGTAGCCGTGACATTTATTTTCCTGATAACGATAATTCAAGAAAATGTTAGAATCATGAAGACTTTTCTTATAACTTTAATTAGATGCATTCATTTAGAAAATAATCTAAAGATACTATATAACATGACTAAACAATACTGATATATTTATCCGGCAGCTTATTATGATTCGTCCGCCCAATAAATTTATTATTCGGCAGAAACTACATAGTTGCCGAATAATAAAATTGTTATTGGGCAGACTATCGTCAT